CGATCCTAAAAATATCTGCCGTAATAAAAGCGCCCAAAGTCGATTACCTGTTATGACGCACTGCACTCAGCGGCGTGGTTGGGGAGAAGAGAACACTCGGCACTGCAAGCTTTTACGTTTCCTTGTAATTTATTACATCGCCTCGTTTGTCGAGTGCTCGCATTTTTCACTCACCCAATTTTACCGCAGCGCCAGCCGATAATTGGCACTAGTACGTTTTTTTATCGAGATCTCATTTTCAATGCCATTTACTCGAATCCTAAGGCCCAAATTGAATGAGACTTTGAAAGTGAAAACGAAACTGATATAATTATCTACATATAAAAATGTATAGGCATGGACAAAGAAAAGATTACACGCTCCCTGAACAGAATCTATTAACATAAATATGAGAAAAAGGTAATGCGAAAAAATTACATTTTTTATTAAACAATATCACACTTAATATTATTATAATCATAGGAAATGAAACTATTTTTCCGGATTTAAATCGCGTATATTTGTTTTTTTAAACAAACCGACGTTTCGGGCCCTTTACAGGTCCCATGGTCACGGTTGACTGACCATGGGACCTGTAAAGGGCCCGAAATCTGTTTGTCGGTTATGCAATCTATGTGTGACAATCGCAAAAACCTAAGAACTCGATATTATTATAATCAATTAATCAATATTTAACATCAAATTAGGAATCACTTAATGCTCTGCTTTACTCTGTAGCCACCCACCATGTATAAACCCGATAAGGGATTGCAGTAGGTGGTCGTATTTTTTTTTAAATAATAAATGAATAAAAAATAGTAAAATTCAAACGGCAAACTGTTAAGGATACGGAGCACGATACACAGCTTTAACTTCAACGTTAAAACCAAAGCTTACAAAGATACATTTTCTACTACTAATAAGTATACTTTTCTTCTGTCAATTATAATTTCATGAACCATATCACTAAGGCGCTCTTTCCAGTTCTGAATGAAAACTCTATTGTCCATACACATTCTGTACACAGAACTATAATGAGTTTCCAAAAAAACGCCGTATTTTTGCTAATTAACATATCAAATATGCTCTACTTGTTCCTGATTGGTTAAATTGGCCTAAAGGTCTTGCAACGGGGCAATAAACTTTTATAAATAAACATTGGTTAAAATATAAGCGGTAAGCTTTTATTCCATCTCTTCGGTTTTTTGTTTTGTAGCGTTTGGTTGGCTTTAATGTGAATTTGTTGTCGTGTATTGTTAATATACATGAAATATTTGTTGTGTTTCATGAATTATAATAATTTACACGTAGAAAAAGTATTGTATGCAATCACTGTATAATTAGGTCTTAAAATCTCGAACCTATTACTTAGGCCAGTCGACAAAAACCTCGTGGCCTAAACACGGTACTCGCCTTTCAGAATCATTATGCAACGATTGCATAAAATACTATAAGTGCTCTATTCATTTTAATTACCCTGGACTGAGAGGAGACCCGTGCACAGCAGTGGGACATATAAATGAGTTGACGATGAATGTATCAATTTGTGATATCCACTTAATTATTTTAGTATTTACGTCACGATTTGAAATTTAGAAACCAATATAATATATTTACAGGGCACTGTAATTTGGTAGTGCCCACCACTTCTTAGATGAAGGCAGCGGCAAAATTATGAGCAATTGGGACGAGCCCCATAAATTGTTTTTACTTCATATGAGAATTTCCTCAATGGAATGAAAATGCAATACTTCATTTTCAGTAAGGGTAAGCTTTTGCTATACGATATCGTATTAAACCAACGAGGCACTGCCCTGGCACCTCGCCAAGATATAACCGAGAGGATCTCTATTTACACTACAACAACGAAGACAGTTTGGTCCTGTCGTTTCGTTTTGTATTGTATTGAAAAGACAAATAAGTCTGTTTGTGTCGAAATTATGGAATCTGCGCGGACAGCGTCAGACTCTTTCCAAAAACATCAAATAGACCAAGCCTCGTTTGCACAGCTAACAAGAGCAAAGGGCGACGACATCGCGACAGACGGATTTGTAAAGCTGTTGCAATTTCCAATATGTCCCTGTGTGAAATGATGTTCTGGCAGTATGGCATGTTAAAGAAACACACGTAACACTGACACGATTGTTTTTTAGGTATAATTTCAGAAGCTAAACTGCAACGGGTCCACGAACAACTAAATTATCGAAACGGCTCAACTCTGGAACGTACGCGGTAAAAAAATACAAAATTTTCAGACACGGCAACCGCTAAATTTGTCTACTATTTTCACAGTTTAATGATATACGGCATTTTGCTTTGGGCATAATGTTGCCGATATTAGGACGGTAATAGGCTCGGTATATGAGTTTACAGTACATTAACATCGGTATGTCATGTAGTTAAAAGATGCCCAGTTCACATGATGGCTAGCAATCTTTAAAAACCCTTCTAAGGTTAATGGTACTTACGCGCTGATGACATGCATATGATGTATCGCAGTTGAAGGTCTTGAAGGGTGTCTGACAGGTGGCAGAGGGGCATGAGGGGGCCCTCCAGTTGGACCATAAAGAACTGGTTGAAGAGAAAGCGACCCTCCGAGGGAGAGCGATGGTGGACTGGATAGCCTGTGGACAATACAAGATTTTTTATTATATAGAATGGAAATTTTTTAAATATTTAAATATTTTTTATATTAACTTAACACAAAAAATCACTAAGAAAAAAATGTGTAATTAGTGTAGTGTATATAGAAAATTCGGTTTTGTTGTTTTGTTTTTCAAACGCGGCAGTACAACCTGGACAGCATCAACGCTCCCAATTGCTTCCGAGGCCCGTACGCCGCCCCCCTAGGACTCTTCAGCGCCCACTCGGGGTCGGTAGGGTCCACTTTGGGAAAGCATGACCTAGATTAACTTGCATTACTAACCTTAATTGAAGGTATATACAAACATACAAACATTTTGCTGTTTGCAATAATGTCTGAAGCATATACATATGTAAATAAAAGGTTATTTAATAATATTCATGTATTCAGCTCAAGTTTTTATACAGAATAAGAATAGAATAGTTGCTGCTGTTGTTATTAATTGGTATTGATTTCTTTATTTCATGTTGAATTATGTTGTCAACTTTATAGTATTTTTACTAATTGCAAGTAGTATTTACCTGCAACTGTTTGATACGTTTAGTTTTAAGGTGTTCCTAGTTTAGATTGTAATATTATAATCAAATGTGATAACATAATCAAATGTTTATAAAGCTTAAATAAATAAATAAAGAGGAAAGGAAGGCCAAAGAAAAGATGGATAGATTGTTTGAAAGATGACATGGATAAGAAAGGAGTGAGTGTAAAAATGACGCTGATAGGAGAGAGTGGAAGAAAAATACATGTGTGTGTGTGTTAAGGACAGGAAGAAAAAGAAGAAGAAGAAGAAATAATCATGGCCCACAATCATAGTATAAAACAATATCCACAGCATACTGAAATAACATATGGCTAGATTTTTAGAAAAGTACACATCCTTTACAATGGTACCAATGTGTAGCTTTACTATCTGCCGTCCAAACAAAATAATTTTTTGAGATGTCTTAAAAAACCATATCCCAGTTTTAGAATATTGAAATTACTTAATGATATTTCAGTTATGCATCGTTAGGATAAGGTGCGATAAGACGAACACGTTAACTAATTTTAACTGTTTCTAAAAGAGAAATTTTTGGTCTAATTTTTTGCTGTTTAAAACGGATATTCGGCCATTTGTCACGTAGACGCGTTATAGTCATTGACTTACAAATAAATGTCCCAAGTTAACCTATTTAAACGTAGTGACATGTAAAGGAATATGAAAAAGCTAAAACGTTCAATTTAAATTGTAATGTCATCGCAGTACTGTCTAATTTTACTTGCTTCGCTGTCAGTCGAACAAACGAAGACTAAAGCGTGAATGACGCTCTGTATACGATTTTAACGCCCTATAAGTTCGGACACTTTTTAGCGCGGACCCGACGTCCATATAATTGTAAGTCAATGGTTATAGTTAGTGGATTTTGAGCGGATTTTAGTTAGTCAGCTGGGAATTATAGGACAAAAAAACGTACTTTTTATAAAATGTATGTTAGTGCAACATATTTGTGTGTTTTAACCGATTTCAAAATTTTTTTGTGTGTATATTTCGCGATTACTCCGGTGACTTTGTGAACAGATTTTGATGATTATTTTTTGTTGGAAAGAGGGTACCTCAGTATTGATCCCATTTAAATTTTAAGAAAATATTACACCTCTAAGTATAAAAACACAGGTTAATTTATTTTAACTATTTAATTTTCCGGTAAATTTGATATTTTGATAACACACGTTTATTCAGTGGTGTAATTAGTCCGGTGAAGCGAATGAGACTCGCTTACTGCTTCTCTCAAAGGCTTGCTTAAATGTGCACTTGCCAGGTAAATTGGGGACGCTCTTTAGATGTAATTGAGGTGTGCACATTTTAATAGAGTGGAGCTAGTGAACTCACATTTTCTATTTACACACATTACATACGACCACGTATCACGTACATAAGCATCCTCAGATTAATTTTGATCAATCCAAAATCTACCCTTGGGAAATATATACGCTTCTTTAATAAGATTCCAGGTGATATCCAAATTTTGCCATTTACGAGGCTTAAAACTATAGTGAAACAAAAACTTTATTCTAATTCTTGTATTCTCGACCTAAGATGTTTGAAATAAATATTGTTAATTATAAATGTGTATAAATGTATATTTACAAAGAGCAACCCCTAGTGTTCCTTTCTCATCCTTCTCAGGGGAATCTGTCTTACGAATGAGTGTAGTGAATGTCAAGTGTAGTTTGCTTACCTATGAAATAAAGATGATTTGACTCTGACCAAGAGTAGCATTTGTCCTTCTTCTAGGCCCCATCTATTTCTTTTTCTTTCTTTCGGTTTAGGTGTCAAAACGTAACTTGCCAGGTGCCAAATACTAATTGTAATACATTACATACATTTTAATATACTACTAATAAAACTTTCATCGCGTCAACAACGATATATTAGTTTTACATTGCACGTTATTTCTTTTTTAATCTGTTTTATCAGAAGTGTTACTAGTGTATAGCTTTGCCAAATAGCAACACTAACCTATGAAACACTATACCAATAATATCTATAATCAATATTTGCTACGTTTTAGTCGTAGCAAATCCCTTACATCGGCCTAATCGTGTTCGGTGAACCGAGGAAACTGTAACTTTGGCTTTAGGAAATCGCAAAAACAGCGATGTGCCAAGATAGAACTAATTATCTGAGCGAGGAGAGTCGGATTAGCCGCCCAAAGCCGTCGTTGACACACGGCTTGCCAAGGAAATCCGTGACAAAGCCCACTGGAACTGTGTTACTAACAATTCTATCTATTTGTTTATTATTTTAAGGGTAGACCGAGGAAGGGACTAAAGGATCTTCCAAGGATTTGAGTCCGTCAGATACTAACACCCAAAGCTAAGAACTGTTCTGTCAGGTCAATAAGTCTGCAACAGCCGAATATTTACTGAAATCAGGACCGAACTACTGGATTGAGTTTCATAATCCCAAGATCCTTTCTATAGAGCGTCATTGCTACAGTACTTAGTAGAACTTATTTTGCAGATGATGCAGAGGCAGTTCTGTAGGAATCCCTGTAAGAGACAGTACGGGTACTACCCTCGCCTTCTTCTTAGTCGTTATCTTCATTGCTGAAGGTCGGGTCCCTGAAAGGTTTTCGAGACTTTATGGATGATTTTCTTCCATTTGATTCAGTCTTCGGCCTTTTTCGGGGCCAGTGAGGGCGGACAGTTCTTCACTCCAGCCGCTAGCTGATCAACCATGGAGTCTACCGTACTCAACCAAATACGTTTAAGGCATGGTACACATTAGCATGGTAGACATTTAAGTCAGAGTTTAGGCGAAAACGACGTCCACCTAAACATTACAGTAGGATTCTTAGAAGTGATATTTCAATCTCTTCGTTTGTTGGTGGTTGGTTATGCACCTACACGTGACTAATAATTATTTTTGATACTAAAGACGGGACGAACACGGCGTGCACCTGATGGTAAACGACACGCCTGCCATAACAGCTGCAGTGCCACTCAGAGCTTTAAATCTCCAAGATCTGAGAGGCACTGCCACTGCGCCCGTCACCTTGAGACATAAGTTGAAAAGTCCCATGTGCCTGTAATTTCAACAGTACCCTGACCCTTCAAAACCGGAACGATGTAATGCTCACAGAACTGCTTGGCGGCAGAAATAGGTAAGGTTGCAGTACTTCCCTGGATAAACATAACAACCTAATGGAGTAATTTCACAAATAAATTAATATCATGATATTATGACAAGCTCTGTGGTCGAGTGGTTTGCATACAGGTTTTCCCTGTGGTTACGGGTTCCATCCCGGCCGGGTCAATGTAGAAATACTAACTTTTCTATATTATCTCGGTCTGTTTGTTTGTGGTACCGTCGTTGTTTCCGACTTCCATAACACTAGTGCTTACATTACGTACGTCACTTTACATTGCTTTTACGTTCAAGTTACTTACGTATATGTGATGTTGTATAATAGACAGCTATTTATTTTTTTATTTATGTTCAATAAAAACTAATGTCAAAAACATTCTACAAAACAGAATTAACAAGACAAATTGAATCAATTTAATAATTACGCCCAATTCACGTATTTTCAACACGTTCTAAATAGGAAGGGACTCTATTTGCAAATTGTTCTCCGCGGAGCTTAGGACGTTATTTCGTTTTTCTGCCTCCTGGGGGCCTATTCAGGGTTCATTACCTACCTAGCTTGTGTTTCCTGTTACAGAGAACGGGAAAATTACCAACGGAATGGGAATACAACGCGTTTATTTGACACTTGTAATTTTCTGCTCACGAAGCAACAGCAATTTATAGCCCACGAAAATTTGAAACAACTGACAAGCCTTTTTATATTCCACACTCGACAGTCAGACAGGAAATGTATGAACATGGCGTAAATATGCAACGTCCCAATCCGATTTTCCGTTGTAATAAAAAATATGCAATGAATGTATGAAATCTCGACGCCGAAGTGATTGATTAATTTTCAACATTTTATTGAGTACGCAAACGTTTTGTGAGTTGCAAAACAATTTGGAATTTCAAAGTGTGAATTTAATAGAATGAAAAAATTATGGTGAAATGAGAGACAAAACTGACGTTTTGACGTATTTCGACCACAGGGAAAATTAGGTTTTTTATCGTTAACGTACGTTTTCCACTTTTTTATTGATAACGAAAACAGAAGATACCGGTAGTGAACTATTATAAAATAACTAACAAACTTAAAAACTTTAATTGACGTAATATGTATGTATTTACTTTGTTTATCATAAAATTCATAATGAAGTAAACTTATCAATGAAATTTTCTCTCTGGTAAAAAAATCTGGGGACAATGAACTCTTTTTACAATAAGAGAGTATATTTTATGAGAAGGGGATATTATAAATAAACCGCAACACTGGATGTAACTTGTTAAGTTTAATAAAATTGTTTAACATAATTATAATGATTACACTCTTTGCCTTGGTGTTTAGTAAAAATCTGTGTGGAGCACGTGCTAAGCAATCTTGATATCAATCAGGTGACCCCACCAAGAAAGAAACAGCCCGTGTATAATAATCACAACTTCCGTTTCCTAATCTTATTTAATTAGGTTTTTTTACTAAATAGTACAATTAATGTATAGCAAAATACTCAAATCCATGCAAACGAATTACTAGTTTTAATGTACAATATATAATAAAGGGTTTTTCAACGAAAAAAAGGACCCAATGCCAACGACATTAGTCACACAGCCACCGAAACAATGAATTTATCGCAAACCAATTTTCCCGATCGCATAATATCACGAAATTCAGCCGTTAAGTGGCCAGCTCGATCTTGTGATTTAACACCGCAGGATTATTATGTTAAAGATAGAGTCTATACGGAGCCAATCGAATCGATTGCAGCCTGAAAACACAAAATTCGTGAAGTGATTAACGAAATAGACCTACCTAATAAATTACAAGCTTTGATGAATCGACATCTGTAACAGCGGTCGTGGTGGACATTTATCAGACGTTTATTCGTAATTGCCAAACCTTACTTTTTTTAATACAAAATTAGAATCATTATCAAGTAAATTTATTACATACATAACAAAGTTCTTGTTGAAAACCCCTTTATAATGCTTTAGAGCTTAGAGCTAAGTCCAAACTCATGGTACCACGATTTCGTTTAACCAAGGTAAACAACTCTTTTATGGGGAACTGTATACGTTTTTACAATAAGATTCCGGAGCATATATTAAGTTTATCATTTCCTAAGTTTAAAAACTACATTAAAAATATTTTGATCGAAAAATCATATTACAAAATTGAAGACTACGTGTTAGATAAAGATGTATGGAAAGACGACACGGCTCCAGAATCCACACAAATTTGATTCAAAGTGTACTCCATAGCATTTAAGTTTATTTGAAAAGAGCAATCCCTAGAGTTTCTTGCTCGTTCTTCTCAGGGACGTCAGCGTAGTGAACGAGCAGTAGCTTAAATGTGACGATTTCAAGTGTAAATTTAGTTTACCTATGGAATAATTAATCTTTGACTTTGACTTTGACTTAACAATTTTATTTCTAAAAAGCAAACATTTAAATATCGAGCAATGAATTTTACCGCGTCCACCTCACACTCTTCAAAACCTACGCAACCACGATACCATTTCGATTTAAAATTGGTAATGTAATTGCTTCAAATTGCAGGGCTTTACAATTAACGTAGTGAATTAATCATAACGGTCAAAAAGTATGAAAAACCAGGTTAATGGTTTAGCAATTCATTATGTGATGTGTAACGAGAATAAACAAATAATTTACCTCATAGGTGATTCCATGTGCACCCTATGCGAAGAACACGATGGTGCGGGTTGGTGAATAGGGTGTGCAGGAAGCGGAGGGGGACTGCTATGCCGGCTTAGGGTCTCCGGAGACACCAACGCTGCTCCAGCTGATGCTGGACTTGGTAACGGAGGAGCACTGCTGCCGGACATTTCGGACTCCGGGCCGAAGGTGCCATGGGATACTCGAGACCCGCCTGACATGTTGTTAGCCGGGATCGAGTAGCAACTGCAACAAAAAGATATTAAATAGTCTTAATATGATGTCTATGGCAAAAACCGCCTGATTGGTGTACTTCAATTACCTTAACAGTATAATGACTTACGGTATTTTGCTTTGGGGTAATGCCGCCGAAACATAGAATAGTTGTCCTACAAAAACATGCGGTTAGGGCAATTTCAATGAAGAGCCCCGAGTGTCTGATAGAAATGAACATAATTATTGTCACAATACATTTATGAAAATGTAATTCATATTAAAAATAATAGTAATATTTTTTTAACTTAAAAATCCGTACGAGGGATAAAAATAAATTGCCTTCTATTGACATTTCTATAATATACATAGATATATACTTTATTACTCACTTACAAAAACAAGAACAGTACATAAACAACTTAAAACTAATGTAAGCAAAGGCGATCTAATCGAGATCTCTTCCAGACAATCTTTGAGGTAGAGGAAAGCTAAATCAGTGCGGGAGACGTAGTGGCCATTTTGCAAATAAAAATTAATTGTGTAATAAGATTCCGGTTGATATTAAAAACTTGCCATTTATTAGGTTAAAAACTATAACGAAACACATAAACGTCTGCGTACTTGGATGACAAAAATCCATCGTAGTAACTCGTTTAGCTCAAAGCTTGGCTCTTTATTGAAATTGCCCTAACCGCATGTTTTTGTAGGACAACTATTATATATTATACATTTTATTTCTTGGTATTTTTTAATTAAATTTGATGATATTCAATTATTTTTTGTGATATTAAACCACTTCTTAGTTTGTTATAATTATTAATACAAAGATCGCTTTTTTTTTTTTAAGATTTTTGTTAAGGTGTGTGTGAAATAAGTGGTTTAAATTGGAAACACACAGACCCGAGACAATATAGAAAAGTTAGTTTTCTACATTGACCCGCTCGGAAATCGAACCCGACGTGGTTATTTGTACAAATAAAAATGTGTACAAATGTTTATTTACAATCAGCAACCCCTAAAGTTTCTTATTAATTCTTCTCAGGGAATCTGCCTTACTAATGCGCAGGCGCATTGCTAATTACTCTAACTCTCTCATAGTTTAATCTCAATCGAGTTAAGCTATTAAAGTGGTATAATTGAAACGATACAGAACGTGTTTATTAATCATGGGAGTGACAGAGAGAATTGCTAGGGTAGTATTATGGCAAATGGCCTCCGCGATGGACAACTTGCCTCGTCTGGTAAAACACTCAGGCGTTTTAAATGGGAAACTACATATTAGAGTAATGCCACACGGGCGCTGCGTCGTCTCAATGCTATGATTTCAACGCATCGAGCGCCACACAAGCACTGCGATATCGCCCCTAACCCTGCCTACTAAGGGCGCGTTCCCACTATGTCGTGACGACAGATTGTCGTGCAGTTTACAGTGTGGCTTGTATATTTAAATGAAGTTATATAGCACGACACGATTAACTGTCTTTCACGATTTTTTTATCGTTACAACTACAAACTGTCGTCACAGTGGGAACAGCTAGAACGACAGTGGTCAGACGATAAAAAAAGTCACGATAAAAACGTGACGACAGATTGTCGCAGCTCCTATTGTCATCACGTTTTATTTATCGCTGTCGCCGCGAACCTCTACTCGCTTTCCAGTAGCGTTGGGTCGTAGCCAGAGATGGGCAGAGAGGCTGTCGTGAAACGATAAATTGTCGTCACGATCTAGTGGGAACAGCTAATCACGACAGTCGTTGAACGATAAAAAATCGTCCACGACAGATAGTCGTGATATGGGAACAGGCTAGACACGACAGTCGTCCAACGATAATAAAACGTGACGACATAGTGGGAAAGCGCCCTTACGCATCACAGCTCCCCTCCCCGCTTCGTTTTCTGGCCTCTTTTCCGATGTGAACGCATTTCGTCGTCGCGTGTCAACGCACTATGTAGCTTGTAGTTCTAATTTACACGTAGTACAACGCAACGAAACCGCTCATTCGTCGCAATTCCGACGCATCGCAACGTGTAGCATCACGGTTCAAAGCAGTCGATCGTTTCGTTTGTTTATGATTACGTCTAGTTAAGGACGTATAATATACTATACCGCAATTAACCAATGTCCTATGCTCCCTCTTCGCCACTGGTACTCGCCTTACAACTGGAATATAAACGATGCTGTAAACGACTCTTGACCTTAATTGTTAATATTCAACGCTATCTATTTTCTGCAAAAATGTTCAATCAATCTTCATTACGCCACTCATCGCATATTTTCTTTATTTATTATTATGTATTGTTTATTATTTTAATATAAAACCTGCAAGTCGAAGAAAGTTCTCAATCCTTGGAAAACGAGTTGGATCAGCGTGGTGGACTGCGATCTAAGACCCGTGCAGTCGGATATACTTATAATGCTGCTATCTTTGGGCGGGAGCTCCTGGATGCCAGCTTGGGCCCTTTGACGCGGTTCAAAGAATTGCGATGAGAATTGTTGACGAGCCTGTGCTTACAGACGATATTGAACCACTGTCTTCGAGGAGAGACTTTACCTCCCTATGCCTGTTCTATCGCTTGTACGATGGCCAATGTTGTGAAGAACTGTTTGACATGACGCCAACGACAACATTTTATCATCGCACCGCTAGCCACCGGCAGGGAGTCCATCCTCACACTCTGGTACCGAGTCCATCTCGTACTGTACGTACAATGAATGTCGGGGTTTTCAAGGAGTCCTTCAAAAGAGGTTTGAGAAGGGTCCTGAGGGGTTGACAACGCGCAAAAAAATGGCTTGATACTGATGATGATGGTTTTTTTATGACACCTAGTGATGAGATGAACAAGTCGTGCGCTCGGTGGTCCGTATCCGTAACAGTTACAGTGCCACTCAGAGCTTTAAATCGCAAAGATTCGAGGGGCACTGCGACTGCGTCAGTCACCCTGAGACATAAGCTAAAAAATTCTATGTGCCTACATATTATGAGAAGATTATATGGAAATATTTTTTTTATTTATTAAATGGCCAGATGGAGTATCTGTCAAAGCACCATAATAGCTTCGAGTGTCCATACTAAGTAAATAAAGGTCTCGGAAATGTAACCGTCTTTTTTTGGGGATCTAAATCGCGTTTATATATATTATTATTATAAGCTATAGTTATTATTTATATATTATCATTATCCCCTACCCAGGAGTCTGGTTTACGGTCTCAAAACTATAAAAGGCGTAGCGGACGCCTGACGAGACATATTGCTGCCCGTTCGTCCGTCACGTCAACATCTTAGCAAGACTGTGAACCTGCCATTTTCGTGAGATATTTACTTTCGTATGTTCGTTTACTATACGAACAGTAAACGAAAATTGCAAAATTGCATATTTAATATTTAATTACCGACGAAATTTGATTCCGTTTATTTTGTAATTAGATGTTTTGCTGTTTTTCCCACACCACCGAATAGAACAGCACGGCATTGTTAGAGATATTATCTTTATTACAATAAATACAGAATATTTTTGGAATATACGGAGACGTAGACACAGGTCAGTAGTTGGCCTGTCGATATTTATAAGAGCTGTATCGCTAATGTGTTACCAGGAATATATGGCCCTAATTTCGTCTCTATTTCTGGTTATGTACTCGATGGTCAGGGCTGACCGTTATCCGAATAAAAAATTGCATTTCCAATTTGTAGCTATCGCGAAAGGTTAAGAACTCGATAGATAAAGATTGTTAGTATTTTTATAGAGATTACTCTATAAAAATACTAACTAGATATACCTGTACTACTCATATAAATACTTGTATGACGACACGGCTCCGAGATGATGCTATATTAATATTAAGTAAATATTGATCCCTTTTCAATCAAATTTGTCTCGTCGCCAACGTCATTACGGCTCAACAGTTCTCTACAAACATTAAAAATGGAAATTGAAGTTTGATATATATATTTTTGTATTTAAAGTAGAAATTTACATTGGACATTGATTTAAGGTGTGATAATAGTTATTATGCCAGCAGTTGTTTAATTAAAGAAGACGATCTCTTACGATTAGTAATTTTACAGATTTCCTCGCACGGCAGACGACCACCGATAGCCACACACAGGGCATACCCATTTCATATTAATAATCACAGAATGACTGACAACCATTACAGTGCACTGGCCCCTCCCATTTTGTACAATGCATTGCTACGGACGTGTCTACCTTTCCTTGGTAAACGAACTCGTGTGAGGTGATTGGTAACATCACGAATCATAGAATAGAATACTGACATTATTTTATTTGATTATGAATTGATAAAATTGGTTCTAAAGTAGAGTCACCGTCAAATGGTTTCGTTTGTAATTGACGTCCATTATAATATCCAATGATTCGCCAAATCACTCAAGCGTATTATAAAGATTGAAAATTTTCAACATCGATATCATTTTGAATTAGTTTCGATATTCCCTTTGTATTTCCTGCATTTTGTTTCCTATTTTTGTCAACAGGGAAGCACATTCGAACTGTGGGTTAAATTGATATTGATAGCTTTTATGTCTGTGTGTTAGCTAGACACAGAGCGTACATCGCAAGCATATTAATACATATATTATTTCCGGTTGTGATAAAAGCTTATGCATTACCTATACACTATATATATTCAATGTACTGAAATTTATGTATTAGGTATTATGACTATAGTATTGGGTATGAACTATTCTAAATATCCGATGGTCTGATCGCGTGTCGGACTGAGGTATTACGAAGGGCCAATGTTAGTGGTATTGAGGCAAACCTTATGCGGCGGAAACTCGTTGGTATGAACATTTTGTACCGCGGATAGCGGATCAGCGGGTGGCGCAGCGCATTTTTCACCCTGAACTTGAGGAGGGCAAGCGTAAGCGTGGCCGATGAGTTCGATAATGGAGTAAGTACACCTAAATAATGCCTCTTCACTCTCGCCTTGAAAACGTCCAAGTTATAACGTTCAGGGAACAAGTCTACAGGCAGGGAATTCCACTCCATAGCCGTTCGCCATATAA